CACTGGCCGCCCACAGGGGTGATGCTGGCTAAATGGTACCCACTGTCAAAGGACATGCACCTGCCACTCTGGGGTGGAGCTGTAGGATGTCCTTCCTCTGACACAGCCACTGTAGCTGCCCTACAAATGCTCCCCCTGTCCAGGTTCTGGAATAAAGAGAGCCTGGCAGAAGCCTCGGGTGGCACCCTAAATTAAGCCGCACTAGAATAAAACACAGCCATCTTTGATTTCTCCTGCATGTTGCCCTTGAAGCCCCCTTTCTGTCTGCAGTATGCTTCTATCTCCACTTTGGTTTGGAAGGAGTCAAAACTCTGTATGGCATATTAAAAACCCACTCAGTGTTTTCCCTTGTCTCAGACAAGCAGACAGGGTCTTAGGTAACAGACACCCTTCCTACATGATCAAAGACAGGATTCTACGTAAACCTCATTACAATAACTGTTGTGTTTAATGCTTCCAACCTAACTCAACTGCTTCCTTGCCCTCCCCATTTTAGTTTACAGTGGTACACATAGGCTTCTGAGCCAAGGTGCTTCTTCGAGTCTTTCCATGTCATCTGAAATTTCTTTTTTTTTTTTTTCAAAGATTTATTTATTTTTATGAATGTGAGTACACAGTTGCTGTGATCAGACACACCAGAAGAGGGCATCAGATCCCATTACAGATGGTTGTGAGCCACCATGTGGTTGCTGGGATTTGAACTCAGGACCTCTGGAAGTGCAGTCGGTGCTCTTAACCACTGAGCCATCTCTCCAGCCCTCATCTGAAATTTCTATAATTAATGTGCATGTTTTTTTTTCTTCTTGCTAATCTGTCCTGTGTAATTCTCAGGACAAGCCAGAAGAAAACCCTAGAAAGGAAGAGATGAGGTTCTGTCTCTCCCAAATGCTAATAATATGGCCTCGTAAATCCCACCCCTTCTCACTGTGCAAAACTCAGAGTGTTATCCAGCTCACACATGGTACACACACACACGGCCGTTCACACTGACAGTCGAGGGTGAGGGCTGAATTTTCAGTTCCTTTGCTTGGGAGCACACCTGGACATATGAAGAGGTTTTAAGTTTACGCAAGGCCTTTATGCAGGATCATATCCTGACCCAAAGCTTTCCTACTTTCAAAATAATTCTTAAATTTCAAGCAGTGAATTCTTAAAATAATTTTGTTTCTTTTGTTTTACTAGTTCTGAACACGTGCGTGGCCTGTGTCATCTACGATGGTGTGAAGCATACGGGAGAGTCTTGGTGGCATACGGATGTTACTCACACGGGGCTGAGTGAGCACCTTCAAGAACACCCTGAAGCCTGCTCACGTCTTAACTCTTGGGTGCACACTGGGATGAGTAGCCAGCATCAGCTCCCCATAAACTCTCACACGCTGCTATGCCTGTCCTTCACTAGAGCTAAGAGAAGCACAACTTCAAACAGTCACCCAACTATACGGACCCATGCACACCATGCCAGTGGCCAGAATGTAAGCCAAATATGTGGCAAAAGAAGTGAACAGTTTTAGAAGCAGAAGAGCCCTAAAGCTTTGGTCTGTATCAAACACAGGGGCGGTCGTTCCTCCAGGCTACCAGTTACTTGAAAAGTAATTTATCTGACCAAAATGTTCCGAGTGTCTGTTCTAGTGACATCTATCCAAGTGGCGGAGGGTCAGTGTTATGGGAACTCACGGAGAGAAGCCGTGCTGGAGGAGCCCCGCAGGAAGTGATGGAGGCCGTCCTCGCAATCACTGGAGCTCGTGATGCTGTTCCTCATCTCCAGCATGGAGATCTGTGTGCAGAGGCTCATCTGTGGCTCCAACTTCTTAACTTTCTACAAAGCAAAGTTTCAAGATGCCTGAGATGTACAGCGGTCAAAGCATATATTCCCTATAAGCAGGAAGTACTAGCCTTTGGTATTAGTACCTCAAACGGAGAGTGATCAAGTGCCCTAAAATGCATGTTGTGGTTTAATTATTAGCTATTGTTTTAAATATAGTATTCTAAAGCTTATAAACATGAATCATCTAAGTGTTAATCTGAAATAGGAATCAAACCCTTCTTCTTTCTTTCTTGTGGTGTTAGGGATCAAACTCAAGGCCTCATTCATAACAGGCAAGCGCTCTCCTGCTGCGAGCTACAGCCCCAGCCTTAAGGTGAGAAGCTCCTGGACAAGGACCCTAATAGGCCATCACATCCATTGTTCCTAGTAGGTAGTACATATCACAGGAAAAATGTTTTAAAAGTTCCCATCTGTAACTGTTTTCATCTCCTTCTTAACAAATGCAGAAAACTAAGCTGCTCAAAGCTCTGAAAGTCCATCTTCTCCTGGTCTCTGGATTCCTGGCAGATGTGGAAGACACCAAGTATAAAATGTCAACTATTAGTCTTACTTGCTGGAATACTGCCTTTCCACACCTTCTCCACACCCACACCCTCCCCACCCCTTAGATGGCTTGACGACTTCTGGAAAGGACAGTACCCCATCCCATACATGTTAGTCTATGACAGTTAGGCCAAGCTATGACAATGACAGGAACTGCCAAAAATCCTTTGCCTTCAAGAAAGGACTAGCTAAAGAGTCTCTCCATTATAACTACCCCCTCTGAAGTTTATGAATACTTAGTGAAAATTCAAGAAAATATACATATTTCTTAATCCCCCCCCAAAATCAGAAAAGCACTTACTTTATCATTTAAGGTAGGATCATTCAGTGAATACAGCTTATTTGTAATGTCTTTTCCTATAAGGTACCTAAAAATTTCATACAGAAAAGGCTCTGACTCCAGAAAATAAGTCAGTCTTTCTCTTGACCAGCATAAAAACCTGCAGTTATCATCCGCAACAATGGTGACCTGTTGGAGGAAACAAACACACTAGCAAAGTTATGCATATCATATATACATAAATCTATATACATAAGGTATGAGTTTGCTAAACTGACAGAAGACTACCATAGAAATGTTTGTCAAGCCAGGCAGTGGTAGTGCACACCTTTAATCTCAGTACTTGGGGGGCAAAGGTAGATTGATCTCTAGGTTCCAGGACAGCCAGGGCTATACAAAGAAATTCAAAAGAAAAAAGGTGAAAAAACGAAAGAAAAAAAGGAAAAAGAAATATCTGTTAAATTAGTTATGACCTACCATACTCCATACCTACCATACTCCATAAAATTATGTTTAAAGACAAGCAATCTATAGGCTAAGTCCAGACAACTTCTCTGTTTTATTGCTTTGGTTTTTGTGGTCTCAGGACAGAAGAAGGGTCATCGTGTCAATACTGCTGTGGATATTGCAATGAGATCTTTATGAAAAATATTTCTTTACCTGCTGTTGATTTCAATGAGGTCTAAAGACAGGTGTAGTGGTTTGAATGTGCTTGGCCCATGGGAAGTGGCACTGTTAGGAGGTGTGGCCTTGTTGGAAGAAGTGAGTCACTGAGGGGTTCGGCTTTCAGGTCTTATGCTTAAGGTCTGCCCAGTGCAGAAGAGACCCTCCTGACAGTCTTCAGATCAAGATATAGAACTCTTGGCTCTTCCAGCACCATGTCTGCCTGGACACTGCCATGCTTCCTGCCATGATGATAATGGACTGAACCTCTGAAACTGTAAGCCAGCCCCAATTAAATGTTGCCTTGGTCATGGTGTCTCTTCATAGCAATGGAAACCCTAACTAAAACACAGGCATTTAAGCAAATGAACTCAGGGACGGGGGAGAGGGAGCGAGGGAAAAGAGAGGGAGAGAGTTGATGAGTGTATGTGTATATGTATGTCTGTACATGTATACATGTGTGTGTATGAGTGTGTATACGTGTGTGTGTGTCTGTGTGTGTCTGTGTGTGTGTGTGTGTATCAAACCCAGGGTCAAGTAAGTGTTCTAACATTGAGCTAGCTGCTTGCCAGTGAGCTATATCACCAGCACCTGAGACTAAACTTGTAAATTATGTATGAAAAACCCTTCACCCCGATGACTCATAAACACACAGTGAGAAAGAGTTACAGGCTCAGTTAAGTAACTGGTGAGAACAGCTGGTGAGTAACCTCTGCCACAGGTTTCAAGGCTAGCTCCAAGGTAGCCTACTGAATTAGGTTTCCAAACTAGTACAGAACTGAGACACCCACCACCCCTTCCCCTGTAAGTAGCACAACATGGAAAAGCAGGGGTGGGCACTGTCACACCACTAGAGAGCTTAAGAATTCTCCAACAAACCCCTTCTTCACGCTCTCAGGGCTCAGGATCCAGAAGCCCCTCTCACCATGCAAATGCTCTTCAACCGCCTGTATGCCACCTGTTCCTTCATGATGACATTCTAAACCTGACCACCAGACTCACCTGCTGACATATATGTGTGGGCTCCTGAGCATGCTGATGCTAGGGCTCATGTCTCCTCAGGTTGGACTGCCTGGCTTCAACAGAGTACTGGCTTACCTACACTCTCACAAAAGAGCCGACAGAGAAGCACAGGTACCGTTGACAGTAAAATCCATTTTACATACTAAGCACTAAACCAGTGCCTGTTCCAGCCAGAGACTGGTAAACGCTTATTAAATTGACATGAAGTCTTACCTGGGACTCAAAACATATATTTCCAAAAGAGCTTTTTTTTTTTTTTTTCACTGTTCAAGGTTTATTTGGTGTTTTTGTTGGCATGACACTTGAGTGGTTGGTTCCATCATCCATATGCAGATCTTACATTTCACATAATATTGCAATGTACACTACAGACACATATAATACATAAAATATCCTGTAGAACACTTATGCACAAGATATGCATAATGGACTTATACACTGGAGCCGGGTTATGACTAACTGGGGACTTGTTGGCCTAGACATGTGTGATGAGTGCGCAGGGCAGCAACGCAGCAAGCTCACAGGGTAATCGAAGCCTGCACAGTTGGCAGTGTGTCTTGGAGACAGTGGGACTGTCACACTAACCAGGTTACCACTACCCAAGTACCACTTGGCAGCAGGGTAGAGCTGTGGGAACTGAGATTTTTTTCCTCAGACCACCTCAACACAATTGTACTAAACACAGCTCAGATGAGAAGTGTGTGGTCTCCATAGAAACCCTGCTGCAGCCTGGACAGTGAAGTGCTAGGACACTGGGAAGACTTTAGAACTGCAGCTCCTTCTGGATTCCCCAGAGGGTATCTGCACTCTTCTTCAGGCGAGCCTCTTCCTCAGGAGTCAGTGTCACCTTCACAACATCCGAGATTCCATTTTGTCCCAGGATGCACGGGACACTGAGGAAAACATCATCATTGATTCCATAGAGACCCTTAATCATGGTGGAAATGGGATGCACCCGCCTAAGGTTCTTCATTATGCTCTCGGCCAAGTCTGCCACAGAGAGGCCAATGGCCCAGGACGTGTAACCTTTCAGCTTGATCACCTCATATGCACTGTCAACCACCTGCTTGTGAACCTCCTCCCACTGTTCCTTGTCCACATCAGTACCCAGTTCTGGGTTCAGAGACTTCAGGGAGACACCGGCAACATTCACACCACTCCACACAGGCACACTGGAGTCGCCATGCTCTCCCAGGATCCACCCGTGACAGCTCAGTGGGTGAATTCCCAGCCTTTCTCCCATCAGGTAACGGAACCGAGCCGAATTCAGATTGCAACCACTTCCAATAACTCGGCTTTTGGGAAAGCCACTGATTTTCCAAGCCACGTAGGTCAAGATATCTACGGGATTCGAGACAACAAGCAGCTTGCAGTGTGGACTGTACTTCACAATGTTGGGAATGATGAACTTGAAGATGTTCACCTTTCGCTGGACCAGATTGAGCCGGCTCTCTCCCTCTTGCTGACGGCCCCTGCTGTGATAATGACCAGCTTGGAGTTCGCAGTTACAGAATAGTCTTTGCTGAAGACAATTTTTGGTGTTCTAAGGAAAAGGCTGCCATGCTGGAGATCCATCATCTCTCCCTTTAGCTTGTCTTCTATGACATCAACAAGGGCAAGCTCATCTGCCAAGTCCTTCATTAAAATACTGATGGCACAAGCCATGCCAACAGCACCAACCCCAACAACTGTAATCTTGTTCTGGGGGGCCTGTTCTTCCTTAAGAAGATTCACAATCAGCTGGTCCTTGAGGGTTGTCATCTTGGGTTTTGAATCTTTTGGGACCGCTAGTGCACGATGGGGGGCAACGGGCAAGCAGCAGCAGCAGTGTGGCCTGGGCTCGGCGACAGTGGCTCCAGCACCAAGAGCTTTCTTTTTGATTTAAGGATTTCAGGAGGATTTAAGTCTACCAGGAATAAAAAGGAAAACCCCAGCCTCCCAGGATTGATAATCGACAGGCTGAAATTGGAGCTTAGTGGGCCAACAACTGTAGAAAGTTAGTCTACGTTTATTACATCAGAGGAGGGTTTCATGAAAACCAAGCAAACCTGGATTTAAGAAATGCAGCAGTAGCTTTTGGGACGCCACAGGACACCCAGTGACACTTGTCATCAGTGTACATTATGACAAAGGCACTTCCTGACAAAGGCCACTTGGTACTGCAGTTACAATGGTTAACAAGAAAGACAGGACACAAGGCTGAAGAAATGGCTTAGTGGTTAAAAAGGCCTATTGCTCTGTCTGGATGGCCAGAAGCCAGAGGCTGGATAGCTCAGAGACCCAGGATAGAACCAAACATAACTGGAGCAGAAAAAGTCAATGAAATGATTCCTAATGATACTGTACTATACTCATAGATTAGCGTCTAGCCTATTTGTCATCAGAGGGGTGTCATCCAACAACTGACGGGAGCAGATGCAGAGAGAAGCTCTCTGCCAAACACTAGGCTGAGCTTAGGGAACTCAACAGAAGAGGGAGAGAACAGATTATAGGAACCAGAGGGTGGAGACCACAAGAACATGGGCCACAGAATCAACTAAGCAGGCTCATAGGGGCTCACAGAGACTATGCCAACAATTGCAGACCCTATATGGGTCTGAGTTAAGTCTGGTTGTGTAGCTTGATGTTCCTGTGGGACACTTAATAGTGGAGTCAGGTGGTGGGTCTCTGACTCTTTTGCCTGCTCTTAGGACCCCTTTCCTCCTACCGGGGTGCCTTGTCCAGCCTTGATGTGAAGGTTTGTGCCTAGTTTTATTTTGTAATTTGTTATGCTGGGTTCGGCTGATATCTGGGGGACCTGCTCTTTTCAGAAGGGAAAGAGAGGAGGAGTGGATCTAGGGAGAGGGAAAGAGGACGGGGTGGGGGGACTGTGAGGAGTGGAGGGCGGGGCAACTGCAGCAGGGGTGTAGTGTATGAGAGAAGACTAAGTAAAAAGGGAAGGAGGGAGAAGGGAGGGAAAGAGAGAGAGAGAGAGAGAGAGAACACTAACTGTCGCTCTTCTAAAGGACCTGAGTTCAGTTCTCATTACCCACATCTGTGACTTCAGTTCTGGGATGTCTGATGTCCTCCTTTGGCTTCCATGGGCGCACACACACACGCGCGCGCACACACACACACATTTTTTAAGGCAGGATCCAAGAGGGGCCAGGTATAGTATCCTATGCCTGGAATCCTAGCATTCCTGAGGCTAACACAGAAGCATGATGAGGTTGGAGCTGGCCTGGGCTATACAGTGACTGCCAGGCCAGGCTGAGCCCCATAATAAGATACTGTCTAAAAGAGGGAGTTAGGGGGAGCTGGTAGGTTGGCTCAGTGGGTACACTATGTAAGCATGAGTTCAAATCCTGGTGTCCACATAAAAAGCTGGGTGTAGCCCCAGACTGGTAACCATAGCACCACAGACGACAGACACAGGAGATCAGTGGGCCTTGCTGGTTACTATCTTAGGGGAGAGTCTGTCCTAAACCTACAAGTCAGAGTGACAGAGAAGGTCACATGGAGCCTCTGTGCATATGCACAGGGGTGCACACCTGCACACATATACCACACACATACTCACAACAAAATAAGTTAATGTTATTTGTTTCTCAAAAGACAAGATCCTTGATTTAAGAGTATGGCTGTTTTGCTGTAAGTATGCCTGTGTGCTACCGTGCCTGCCCTGTGGAAGCCAGAGACAGCATCACATCTCTGGAAGTTGAATTATAGACCTTGTGAGCTACCGTGGGGGAGCTAGGACTTGAACTGATGTCCTTTTGAAGAGTGCTTTTAACACTAGCGCCATCTCTCCAGCCCGAAGGTGCTCCTTTCCTTAAATCCAGCTAAAATTGAATGTTGAATTATTTCACAAGAGCACAGACATGCTTTTCTAAGGCCTTTCCCTCTATGTCAACAAAACTGATCTTCAGATTTGCAGCAAGGGGTCGTGTGACTGACCATGGGCGAGCAGCAGCAAACAGAAACAAAAGAAGCATGTTTATCAGAAACACTCACTTGAAACACAACTGAATAGAGAAGAAGAAGCATAAAAACAACACACTGCTTCTATATTTTGTAATATTGACATAGAAGTCCCTGTCAACTGCCGTATGTGGAAGTGTGATCTGCAAGTCCCCCAACGGCAAGCGCTAAAGACAGTGAACTTTGAGACCCGTGTCCTTAGCTTTCCCAGTCTGCCTGTAGCATCAGAATTACCAAAGTATTTACCAAGGGATGTTCTATGCTGCCTGACAGTTTTCTCTTTTCTCTTATTGTACAGTTCATCAGCACCCTGACCACAGAAAGAGTTTAAACAAATAACAGTCTACAGTGGTAGTATGGGCCTATAATACCAGCATTCGGAATGCTGAGGCAAGAGGACTATCACTGGTCCAAGGACAATCTGGACCATACTGAGCTCAAGGTCAGCTTGGGCTACATACTAGGACCACATGTCAAAAAAAAAAAAAACCCAAACAAATAAAAAATAAAGACTTGAGGGTGTGGCTCAGCCTAGCATGCACGAAGCCCTGGATTTGATGCCCAGTAGCACATACTGAGTGTAATGGCACTGCCTAAAATCTCAGTACCCAAGAGGCAGAAGCAGGAAGATCTAAAGTCTGAGATATATGAAACCCTGTCTCAAACAAAGCAATCCAATGGAGTAAGTCTTAGCAGAGTGCTCCCAGGGAAGGACTGGACCATGCTCAGGAAGCTCCAAATGCATAGCAGCACCCTGGAGTGCAGCACTATAAAAATCCTACGGAACAGCTATGCTTCATTGGAGTATCCGACCAGAGAAATGTTTTGTAAACAGTCAAAGCACAATCTCTCCTGGGGTTTATTCTGATGAAGTTGGCCCTAACTGTTCTAGGCACAGATTTGATGGCAATCACAAAATACCACAAAATGACAAAATGTCACACACAGCGCCAAGGAAAGCTGGCGGAGATTGTCGAGGATGGAGCCATGCTTTTATCATGTTCCTGTAATCTTCACACTAGTTAGGAAGAAAGCCCAACTACTAAAGTCCAGTCCCCTAACAAAGAAAACTGTTGTGGGAAGTAACTTTGTGTTAGCTTACTTATAAACATAATTTGGAGTCCAGTGGAAAGGGAGTACATATTTCTATACCTGATTTTTTAGGGAATCCCTTGCTTCTTGAACAAAGGTTTAGTTTTTCATCCCAAACTGACTCCTGGTTTCTTCAGGATAATAAGAGACTAAGTTATCATAGAAAACTACCTGTAAGGAAGTCAGAAGTAAGAGAAGTGGCTCTCTCCTGGTTCTTTTTCGGCAGTGCTTAAACACACTGCTCAAATGGGAGGAGCATGCATCCCAGGACACAGACAGCTCCCCCAGTAAGGAAACAACAGCTAGGGTACCCACTGGCTTTCTCTTCCTATGTGTCAAGCTCAGCCAGCATAAGAACAAGACTGCATGAGTCAGAGTCTTAGTTACTGTTCTGTAGTGAGGAGACACTATGGCCAAGGCAGTTCTTACACCAGAAGTCACTTAACCGGGGCTTGTTTACAGTTTTAGAGGCTTAGTGCACTCTGATCACGGCAGGGAACAGACAGGCATGGCACTGGAACAGAGGCTGAGAACGTTACACTCTGATTCACAGGGAGAAGAGAGGGGGAGGGGAGGAGGAAGAGAGACAGAGACAGAGACAAAGCCTCTGGGCCTGGCCTAGGCTCTAGGGACCTCAAATCACACTTATAGTAACATACTTTCTCCAACAAGGGCACACCTCTTCCAACAGTGCTACACCTCCCAATCCTTCCCAAACAGTCCCACTAACTGGGGACCAAGCATTCAAACATATGAGCCTATGGAAGCGGGCCATTCTCATTCAAACCCCCACATTCAGGGAGTTTAAACTAGTACTTAGGGTAAATGTGCCCAACTGTAACAAATTCCAAAACTGCCCAGGCCATTTATGCCAGCTGAGTGGCAGCAAGACAGGGCTGAAACTAATGAAATGAATAAAATGGCACTTCCCCTTCATGTCCAGTCTACGGCATCCCAAGTTGAACAGCATCCCAAAGTGAGTCTGCGAGATTGCCCAAGCAGGGGCACTAATGGGTCCTGTTTCTCAGGTGATGATATTTTCCTCAATTCTATTTCCTACTAAATATGTACTGTTTTCTAAAGCAACTCGGTGCCCAGAATGTTTCCTTACTGCTATTTATCCAGAGACTTATGTTCTTGGCTATTTTCCTAAGAATAACAAATAAAACAGGAGGCCTGGGGACATTTGGAAATAACCAGAACAAGCTGCAATACAACAGAGTATTTTTCAAAAATAAAAATAGAATTAAATGGAGTAGCATTTGAACTGTTAATACCATGAGGAATTTCCTCTTTGCTTTTAAACACAGTCACTAACTATAAAAGAAGTGAAAGAATCGGAGGTTTTATTTTGTAAGTTCTCTAGAGTAAAGCCAGTGTCCTGCTTTCTCTAAGAAAGGTAATAAATGATATATTTAGGAACATGAATTATCTACAAGCAATAGAAGTTTTCTCATAATAAAAACTGATTAAAAAAAGATTGTATTTTTATGTGAATTCTCATTTGCCTGAAAGTGTGTTTGTGCATCGAGTGCATGCAATGCCTGCAGAAGCCAGAAGAGGGCATCGAATCTTCAGGGTCACAGCCCTGGAGTCACAGATGGTTGTGAGCTGCCATGTGGGTGCTGAAAAAGAAACCCAGGTCCTCTGGAAGTGCCACCAATAGTCTTAACCAGATGCCAGATCAACACATTTTTAAAGGAGGTATTATAAAATGAGCAAAAGTTTTTGAAGAATGAAATAGTAAACTGGAAACAAACTTCCACTCCAGAAATAACAGGGTTAACAGGATGGCTAGATTTCCAGACTTCCACCTCCAGTTGTGCACATACAAACACTGTTGAAAGGTGTTCTCTTTTTACAGCATTATACCATACCACACCACACCACACCACACCACACCCCAATGTGTCTATCTCCTTTCTAAAAAGAAATTATGGTCACTTTCCCGATTTTGCTTGATTTGAACGAGATACAAATTGTTTCAACCTTCTTCAAAGTCAAATCATACCTGGAATTTTTCGCCTTTGTGCATCTGCGTTGATCTGAATTCGGGAGAATCTATAAAGGCACACGGGTAAATGTTATGCAGAAAATGTCCTCGATAGGAGACCTTCATTCTGGTAACAGAAGCCAAATGGTAACACATAGAATTTCACAGACAAAACAAAACAACAAAACAAAGTCATTCTTTTCATCAACACAACATTACAGTAATAATGGAGTTGTCCTGGTTTTAACGATTCCACAGGTAACAGACACAATTTAAAGCACTTCCAGAAACAGAAATGCTTTTTAAAATGACATAAGAAGAAACCAGCATCCATTTTTAATCCAGACCATGGCTTACACTGTTGCTATTCTTATAGCTGGATTGACTACATAATTTGTATACTGCCAACATTAGAGAGGAAACGGCACGTTATTAATAACTGTGTTCCAAGGCCTGGTAACACGCAGCCATAGGTCCAGTCACTCAGGAAGCTGAAGCCCAGGAGCTAGAGACATCATCCAAAACCACCATCAAAGGAACACAGTAATAATTATGCCCATGTAACATCGCTGACTCTCCGCTCAGATGACCCATATGTACTGCGGTACTCAAAATCTAAACATGTCACCTTTGCAACATGCGCAAGCTTCTGAAATTAAGTTTAAACACATTTCAGAGTGGAATCATTAACTTCAAGCAAAATATCAACATGGTTAAAACATATATTCACTGTAGAAAACTTTGGTCTCAATAAGGTTTGCAGCCTGGTGTCGGCCTATCATCAGATAGGCCCCGATTTAAGCTGCAAACTTGACCTTCAGCACAGTCGTTGCTTCTTCCATTAGCTGGCAACATTTCCTTCCCAGAGGCAATAAAAGATCAAAGGTGACCAGGCATTCCCATTTCCACACACACTCACCTTCCCTTTAGGAGAATACTCAGACGATCATCCACTGAGGTTTTGTCCTCTGTGGCATACACCTGGCCCCTTTTCAAGGTCTGGATCATACAAAACTGTCCAGTTAGCCTCCGAAACAAATCCGGAGGGACTCGGAGTGGTTCAAACAACCGGTGGTAGATACCACTCAGCTCCTTTTCAATCTTGACCTGAAAGACAGCAACACCAAAGTCCTACACTAAAGCAGTCCCCAGACACTGACTCTTCAGGGCACAATGTGGATTTAAAATATAAACCCGTGCTACACACCAGTGACTCGCTGTATGTGGTCAGTGGGGTCTTAGAGGGTTAGTAGTGGTGTGCATTTACATTCTAAAAAGGAACCTTGAAGCTCAGAGTCAATTTGAAGCGCCTGCAGGTCGGGTGGTGGGTGAGGGAGGCTAAGATTGGTCACACCTCTTTACACTGACCATGAAGCAACTGCTTGAGCTTTTGAGTTTTGTCAAATCACGTACCTTCCTACCTTAGAAGCAATACATACGTAACACAATGTTGTTTCAAAGGACAAAACAACCTTAACTTATGATAGTGGGAAAGTAAGAATTGGTGTAAAAATAAATTTACAAAATAGTGCATTGAGCATCTCCAAGTCATTATTTAATGCCTCACATTTATATATTCATAAGCAAAGCAAAAGGGAAGGATGGAGGGCTTTGGTGTGGCGGCTAATCCTAGCCTGATCTACACAGAACCAAGATCCCACTGAAGAGTAAGGCTGGCTACCAGACGAGTAGAGCAGTCTTAAGGATCTTCTGTGACATTCTCTCAGGCCCAGGGGCTGCCACGTGTCTGCATACAGCAGTGTCTGAAAGTCACGGTAACTGAGTGCAAGGAAAATTGTACTGCACTGTGGATGAACTCTGACCGAGTCAGACACATGGTGAAATCTACAGACACAGAACACAAAATTCTCTTAGGGACAGCAAACAACTGGCAGCTGCCTCTCTGATGCCACTCTACTCTGCCCCACTGGTTCACTTCCATGAAGAATCTTTTAACTATTTATTTACTGACTGATTGGTTGGTTGGTTGATTGTTTGATTGAAGTGGTAGTCTGATAGTCTGAGAAAGAAAAAACCAAGAGCCCAGCTGGCGCATGCTCTTTCTGGTCCTCCAACCATGTCAGTAAGCACTGCATCCCAGTGATGAACACAGGACCTGTTACAGGCTAGTAACACACATCCTTGTCCTGTCCTTCCTTACACCTCAGATCAAGACTCAGTTTCTTCATGAGGTTGTCTGAATTCTCTTCTCTGGAAACATCTGTTTGTCAAGTTTCTCTGGGCACCTCCAGTGCGCAGAGCGCTACAACAGCTAATGTGTGAGATCACACTATTGCTTTCAATTGTTTGCTGTCCTATAAGAGAATTAGCCTGCCTTACCTCCAACATTAGCAGGCTTGGGCACGTCACTGGCTTTGGCCAATGAAATATGAGCAGAAGTGACATTTCTTCTGAGAAGATTTTCTTTTAAACTTTTGTTTTTAAATTTTACACGAATGGATATTTGGTCTGCATTATGTGCATGCAATGCCTATAGAGGCCAAAAGAGGGTACTACAGCTCCTGGACCTGGAGTTACAGATGGATGGGAACTCCTAGGTGGTGCTAGGAACTAAACCCAGATCCTCTGCAAAAGCAGCTTGTGCTCTTAACCACTGAGTCACCTTCCAGTTCCTTGGGCTGACATGTTAAGAATCATCGGGTGTTTTTCTGACTTCTGTAAGAATGCCTGAAATGTGTAAAATGGTGGGATAGAACCAGTGATGCCAGTCCACAGATAAGGTGGGTGAGACGAGAAGCCCTTGAGTCATGGCTATCTTTAGATCATCTGTTACACAGCTTAACCTAGAAAAAAAAAACTGACCAACACTGGAAAGCAGCCCAAACTGAGCTGCTGTTTGAGAGGTTATAGAATAGTGGGGTGTCCACAATGTATAGCACCTGTGTTTCTGTGTGAAATCCCTAGTTTCTAATAGTTTTCTACATTAAACACAGAGCTAGGATGAACATTTCCGCCTTAGGTCACTGACTCCTTGTGCATAGGACAGTTGGTGAGCTAGGATGGCTGGATTTTTAGGGCCCAGCTGCTTTCTACTTTGTTTCTAGATTTATGCTTTGGAAGGTTATGTAGGTTTGGGTTTTTTTTTTAAATTGTTCATTGTCATTTTCTTTTCTTCTTTCTTTTTTGTTTTTAATTTAAAGATGGGACCCCGTCACAGCTCCAAGCTGACTTCAAGCTCACTAGGCTAGCCTTGACCTCCACCTGCCCCAGGGAACGCTGGGATCACTGACCTCCACCTCCCCCAGGGAATGCTGGGATCACAGGGGTGTGCCACTGCATTCAAGACTCACTCTGTTACTAAGAAAACACATCGAGAGAAGACAGAGCCCCAAATAAAAAGTATGGACATTCTTGTAAAAAGCCACCAAAAGCGCTGATTTCTTCACATGAGTTAGTTTAGGCTAAAGAAAGATAATAACCACTATATTAAGAAAACAGAATGAGCCATTTGCAAATCATTAGTATGAAATGGAAGCTGCCTATCAGTAATTTTATAATTAAGCAAAGATATTCCCAAATGATATCTGAGTAGCACCAGATCAGGAAATAGTCACATAATAGGCCTAAAAAAAAGACAGCATTAGTCATGTCTTTCATGCTCCAGTGAGTCAAAGTTTTTAAAATTCATTTGTTAGATGAATTTCACAGATTTCAAATGCTTTTCTCTCAGGCATTTACCCAGAAAGCTCAATATTCTGAATATTTGAGAAGGACCAAGGCTGTCAGGTGCTCACATGCAAGTCTGAATAAAGTACTTCTAAAAAACTTTCATATTTAAAGTCACTTTCTTATTTAAAAAATTTTAGTAATTACCGGTCTTTTCTTGTACAAAAGATATGAAAGATGCAAAATATTGATACCCAAGAACACCGAGTTCCAGATCATCATATCCAAGGCACAGCGGTAGAGAGTGGCCCAGACTACATAAAGGGTACATCCTGTTGAGGAACAGTCAACATATTAGATACTCAACAACAGATTCAGCAAACAGCTTAATATAGTCCTCCTCTGTCTAGAAATCAAAATGCTCTAGAAATATGCAAGCTGAATACCACATTTTCACTGAAGTTTATTACTAAAATCACCTCAAACCAAAGTACATGTTTTGCTATTTCTATAGAAACAATGTCTTGGTAGTTGTTTGTTTGTTTGTTTGTTTTCCAAGACAGAGTCTCACTATGTAGTTCTGGATGTCCTGGAACTCACTGTGTAGACCAGGCTGACTTTGAACTCACAGAAATTCACCTGCTTCTGTCTCCTGAATGCTGGGACTAAAGGAATGTGGGTAAGAATATTTTTTTAAGTGGAAAAAAAACCATAATTTACCAGCTAAAGAAACTACAGTTGAGATTTAATACTGCCTTAAGGTTTTCACATAGCTTCACCTGAAATAAACCTACTATGTGTACAAACTTAAAACTTATACTGAAGGCGATGATTTTCCCATCTTATTAAAGTCCTTTGTAAGGAGTTTATAATCACTATGTTAGGCTTAAATGTAACTCATTCAACCATCTGCCTCCTGATAGGCAATACTCTGGGATTTGGAACATACACACACATACCATAACACACTGCACAACACCCCCACATACACAACACCCTCCCATACAACATAACACACACATAAACACAATAGAGCATTACAGTACTACACAGCAAACACACATACAAAATGCAGCACACACATACATACACATCCCCGATATACATCCCACACGCAACACTCCACGTACACATACACACACAGACACACTACATACACACAACACAGCACACCAAAAACACATACAAAACGCAGCACATACATCCCCTACATGTACAGCCCCCACACAACACATATATACACACAACACACACATACTATAAAACACAGCATACATACACACATATACATTCCACACAACACACACAGCAGAGCACACACACACACAGCGACACATACATACACAGCACACACAACACAGCACACACACACAGCACATACACACATACAACACAGCATACATACACACATATACATACCACACATATACACACACAGCACAGTACACACACAGAGACACATACATACACAGCACAAACACATAAAACATAACATACATATACACATATACTCACATACACACACACACAGCTCAGCACACAACACACACACACACACACACACGGTTTCTTTGGGTCTTGTTGTTTCATTGCACTTCATTCTGCAGGCTCCCACCAGGAGTGCGGGGACAGTAGACAGTATTCTATCAGCTGTGTCACATCCCTAGCCCTAGAATTTGTAGTTTTCTGAGACAGTGTCTCCCTTTGTAGACCAGGCTATCCTTAACTGCAAGCCTTTCTGCCTCAGCCTGATTCACTGGGATTACAGCCATGCTGGTGCATTGCCTCTATGAGGGTATAATTTTGGGTAACAAAAGCAACATTATATAAAAACATTTCTCCATTTATGACTGTTTACTTAATTGAAGCTTAAGGCAAAGCAAGGGAATGCATGTCACAGCTCCAGGTGACACGCATGTCACAGCTCCAGATGACACTGAAGAAACGTTTTCTAAAAGGTTTCTACAAACTTACAAAACTAGTAGTTGGGAACACCAGTATCGAATTGTCAGAATTATAAAGTTGGAAACTCCTATCCAGGCACAATGGCGCACACCTTTAATCCCAGCACGTGGAAAGCAGAGGCAGGCGGATCTTTTGTGAGTTTGAAGCCAATCCAGTCTATAAGGTGAGACGCAATCCCACTCTAATTTGTTTCAAACTTCATTATTTGATAAGGAACTATGTACTCTATTTCATTTGGTATTTTCATGATCAGTGGTGAACTCAAATATTCTATTTAAGTTGGTGTTTTGAGGCAAGGTCTCATGTGGCTAGCCTTGAGTCTCAGGCTAACCTTGACCCCTCAGTGTGGCTGAGGTCATCACTGAACTTCTGGTCCCATCTCGTGAGTACTGGCATGCTCTACTATGCCTAGGGCTTCATGTAACCTGGGTACGTACTGTACCGCCCCAGCCCAAGCGCAGATATTTCACAGAAACTTTTTAGTGACCTGAATTTCACTTGGTGATCCATTTGTCAACTGACCTCTTCCTGTACTTTTCTCATCAACTCTCTTGCTTTGTGTAAGCATCTTTATTTTCTGATTTCTGTAGTTTTAGTTGGAAATGACCACTAAGATAGAGACTTAGAGATTCATATTCACATGAAAGCAGACTTTTCACATTAAAAGCTATGTGCAATGCTGGACTCAGACCAGTGGAACATCTGAATAAACCTGATCCCTATACTTCCTGGGCCTCCTTATTTATGGATGAGGGTACCAGGCTAAATACATGCTTTCTGGCCACTTTACCTTCAGATCTCTTGTCTTAGTACTTAAAGCTTGGATTAAGGGTCCTCCTCCAGCCAACTGCTCCTGCAATGGTTAACTACGCGAAAGTCAAACAGAATCCTGACAGCTGACTCCTAGCTACCATTTCAGTCTCTTCTTGCCAGTTTTTATATATTTCAAGCCCAAAAATCTAGTCTTCTTTGGCACTATGCTGAAGTTTCTTCTCTTCTGTGCCCTTCTCCAGTTTACCCCATGCTCACATTTTAGAGAAAACCTGGTCATCTCTCCAAAGCCAGGGGCACTGTCATAGAGGACCTTGCCTTTCATTACCACGGAGCCTGTCACCGCTGTTTGCTCTGAGCCCTAGGTATAGACCTGCAGTGCACATCTGACACCCTACACTGTGACAGGCCGCCTGTTTTTACAAGGAAGGAGACGGCCTTCCTCAGTCTTTGTCGGGTATTTTACAAGTATTAAAAACTGCACCTAAATAAATGGAGAATCGGGGAGAGAGCCTATGAAGAATTTGTTAATAATCACTGGATAAAACAGTAGATTCTCTTGTTCAATATTTTAATGTGAATAAACTTAACATTTTTCAATCAGTTCACAGGACAAAATATTCATATTATTTACACATTATATAAATGTTACACTTGAATTGATGGGAATTGATTTTATTGCCAAGTTGTCTTTTCAAATCATAGTGGTTGAGACAACACTGCTTACCCTGTGCCAGGCACTATCCTAACATACATCTACCTAACTCTCACACCAACCCTAGAAGGTGGTTTTATTTTCACCCTTCTTTGATGCAAGAGGAACTCGGAGGGACAGAAAGTTAAAATCATTGGCTCAAGCTACACAGTTAGGAAGCAGCAGTTAGGGATGGAATCACGCTCTGGTTCCAACGTCTACATCCTCGTGCATGGATTTCTGACACATAGAACCTGAACAGTACAGGAAAGCACACACAGCTCATACACATCACAGAAGGGAGGCACTGACTGTGCAGAGAACTACGTTCTAAGTTAGTGGACAGACTGCTGACCGGATAACAAAGACTTGCCTTTCTTGCATGCTATACACCTGACAAAGATGCTCTAAGCTCCCAATGCAAAATCCATCTGATGCCAATTGCACACACTCTGTTCTACAGGAAGCCTCACCTACAGATAGCATCACTCGGAGCAGTATCATATGGAGGTGAAGAGTGGTGGGAATTAGCAAGCCAACTGCAAAGCAAACATTTGCTACATGAAAAACCAGATGGTGAATCTCTCTCCAGTTTTCACAAGTGGTCTCATTGGAAGGCACGGGTGTGAGACTTTCTAACTCAGATGTAAAACCTGCTACAGTTGATGGTGCCAGTGGGCTGGACTCTGTATAATTCATGTTGAAACGGCCTATAAAGACAAACACACCAACAGTCATAAATGGGGACTTCATCTTTCATGTCTGTGACAGATTATTTTTATGAATTACATGTTGGTAAACAGAGCTTTCTGGTACTTATCAGGTACATAGGTTCAAATTCCAGTCCTGTCACACAGTAGGTATGTCTTTTCCCTATCTGTCATAGTGATCCCCCAGTTGCCTCATGATGAAATGGATCATCTCAGACATCCTGACGATTCCGACAGATGCACACATGTTTAGAAAAGAATCACCAACACTCATGGGTCACAGCATTCACCACAGTTTAGCAGAATCTGCAAACTATTCATACTGAAGACCCAATCTAAGCACAGGAAAAAGTGTAAAACACTGGTTTCCTGAGTCCTTTAACAAGGAACACCCTCGTATTAACTACTTAAAAGGTTAAAGTATGCCAATGTTAAATCATGGCCACATGCCTACCATAATATGTGCACATAATACATAATCATATACAATACTGGCATCTACATGTATGTAGAAAACTTAAATAGCATTTAAATTTTCTTTCATTCTACAACTTAGGCCTCTATTTTTATTCCTCAAATAATTCTAGTTGGTAGTATTTCACAAATTAGAAAGTAGCAAATGTACAATGTATATGTAGGAAGGTTCATGAATATACACTTGGATATTTAATATTAAGCTCCACAGCAAATACATTTCAAACAATATACTTTTACACATACGTATATAAAATCTAACACAAAGTAACACTCCATCTTGTCTATTCTTATCCATTCTTGCTCTTGGCTCTACATACACAAAAACCTTATTAACTATACAAATCTGGTCCTTGACAAAACTATGTAGATTTACAGAAGACACAAGTTAATCTATTTAATTTTTTTACTGTCAAATGAAGACCCAAAATACCTTTAAATTTAATTTAGAAGTGTATATATCTTTGAAATAAAGAAATTCATATTTTAACATAATAAAGATTTAAAGTAGTATAATAGGTATGAACATCTTGAAAGGACACTAGACAAGTTTATGTGGATGAATTCTATATATCTTAAGATGACAAACACATTCATAAGTGAAGTAAGTTGAGGCAAAGTTTACTTTTGTGACATTTGTTTTGTGGTGCTAACCATTCACAGGGCTTTAAACAGGATAAGGGAGCACTCCACCACTGAGACACATACCCACCTGAAACAGTTCACAAATAATAATAGTTGACTTAAATATTGATTTTCTGCAGAAAGAAAAAAATGAGAACTCAACTACTTTCCAAACATCTTAATAAAAACATAAGCTTATCACGATGGGCTGGTTCCAAGAACCCAAAAGTGAGTATGAGTGTCATGTCTACGTCCTGTTGCCATGGCTACCCAATGGTCTGTAGGAGGCAGGGATAATCCATACTGATGATACACTTCCCAGGCCCTATAGATAAGTCACTGAGGAAGAGCCTAAGGAGATAAGACTGAAACATAACTCGTATGGACAAACCCTTTTCCACGAATACTTTCCTGCACTGGGTCAGCTTCGATACCACAAGCTGCCAGGAAGCCGCATAAGCCTGCCAATGCTGCCTCCCTCCTTAATCTGCACCCCAACCCCAACCCCATCCCCACCCTTTGCACTAGAGGCAGCCGAACTACATGGTGTTAAAAACTTGGTCGGGTTGTGATGTTTTAAAGCAGATTTTTGTACTAAATTAATCAACACAAGCACCCCCTCATATTTCACCTATGTTACCTTCTAATATTCACTTCCAGGTTTTAGAAGTGGCATTAAATGCTTACATTTCTGGTCAAAGGAAATTGGCAAGAAAGCTATAATCTGCCTCAAAATCAGAAAATATTAATAGCCATTAAAATGTATTACATGTGTTTATTTCTACAGGGGTGCACGTGTGCACAAATCAGAGGACAGCTTGCTGGAGACACTCTCCCCTTGCACTTCGTGGGTCCTGGGGATACAAACCAGGTTGCCAGGCTTGCCTTCAAAGACTGGGCTTTCTCACCAGACCTAAGGGCCAGGTTTAAATAAATGTAGGATTACGGTAAAACATATTTTGATGCGCTAGACTTATTAAAGATACGGAAATTTTATATGCAGCTGTAGGTATATAGATACATATATTACTGAGAAATGCTTCTTACCTCTCATAAATCAGCATTTTCGATATTCAATGATTTAATCTAACGGCCTGCTTAATCATTACTTAATGGGTTTAAGTGGCCTACACTGAACTGCCAATGGCAGATCTAATGAAGAAGGTTAAATTACTGTGTGAATTTGTAAACTGTCAAAATCGAAAAACGGTCATCTTTCTCATCAGCTCCTCCACGTCTAATTCCCCAAATTACTCGCTGTAGTAAAGCCGTGCCCATCTCTTGGTTTTCAAATAGGCGTCTGCAGGTCTACATACCTGACCGAGGAAGCAAGCTAACATTAAACCTTGACCAAATTAACAAAAATAAAGAGGAACAGCGATGAGAAAAAGAAAAAAAAAGAAAGAAAAAAAAGCCCTTCGATGAGAGGCAACTCACTGGTATTTTCCCGGACTCTCCGCGCACCTCCCGCAGCCTTGGGCGGCCCGGGGCAGCGGGTTTGTGGGATCGGTCTGGCAACCACCCGTTTCTCTAGGGCGCGGGCCGGTGGCGAGGACCCGTGGATCCGGGCCCACTGCACCCCCACGCCTGACCGGCTCGCCCCGCTCTCACAACAGTGTCAGTGTCCACAGCTCCGCGGCCGGGCGCCGTCCCGCCGAGGGACCTGGGCGCGGGGTGGGCGGGCGGGCGAAGGGCGGCTGCAAGGGCGGCGCGGGGGAGCGCGGGCGCGCCGCAAGTTGCTCGGCCGCTCGGTGCCCAACTTTCCCGCGCGACCGGGCGCCCCGGCTCCTTACCTTGCGCGTCCCGGGGCCGGGCGGCGG